GGGGGGCGCTGCCCCCGGGCGCGGCCCCCCCCCAGCAGCACCAGCCTCCTGTCATCCAGCAGGCAGATCAGGGGCCCGCACCCCCAGGAGGAGTCCAGCACAGCCCCACAACCCTCCCAGGAGAGTGGGCGGGCCCCTGATCTGCCTGCTGGATGACAGGAGGCTGTTGCTGCCAGCTGGAACCAGCGCTGAAGCCAAGTAAGCCTGGTTTCGAAACTCGAAACGTTTTGAAACTTTTGAAATGTTTCGAGTGCCTTTTTTTGTTTTGAAGCTGTTTTGGAGGCTTTTGTTTCATTTTGATTTCACTGTTTTGAGCTTGAAATGCATCGAAACAGCTTCGAAACAAAACACCAGGTGAAATTTCACACAGCCCTACTGTGCATGCATGTACCCACCCCTCTTTCCTTATTGTTATTCCATTCTCTGTAGGGCTACATTCTCATTTGCATGAAGTCCTGTTTACACAGTTCAGAAATGTAAACATATTTTAAAGAGAATGTAAGAGGCATTTTTATTATTGGCCAACATCATGAACAAACAACATCTATCAAAATTGTTTTCTACTGAAAACTGGATTGTTGGCAACATGATATTTGTAACTGTCTGCCTTCTGTCAAAAATTTCAGTTTTTGGGGGGGGAAAAAAGAGTCCCTAAATACCAAAGGGCACCTATACACATGCCTGATGCTTGGCCCAGCATGTTCTAATTAGACCATGTCAGAGCAGACTCGATTAATTGAGTTTGCTGGAGGCTGCTAATTAGCACACTTCAGCAACCTCAGCATTATGTGTATTCAGCATCCCCATGCTTGAAAATAGCAGCTGGGGTGCTCTAACTAACTAAAGCTTATTCAATGAGCTTTAGTTAAGGCACCCCTGCTGCCATTTTGAAGTGCAGGATGCCGAATTATGAGACTCTCCACTGTAATTAAAGTGCCCCCCACTCCCACCCTGGACCATGTGTAAAGATGCCCAAAGTGTCTTGGGCTTCAAACTAAAATATTTTGGCACAAGTCTGAAATATGGTAACTTGGATATTGCCATCTGGGCACCTCATGGGGGCTATTGTTTGGTTGCATCACACCTCTAGCCTCTTCTGCTTCGTAGCATAATTAATAGGGGGTGAGCAGGGAACTAGCCCCAGATGCCAACTTGGAAAGGCACAAAAATAACAGTAACTGCCAGTGGCCTGGCCACTGCTGTGCCCCATGTGCTGCTGCTACCCAAAGAGCAAAACTGCCCAGCTGTATCTCTGCCTCTATTTGTCAAACCCCTTCATGTCCCATGATGAGGCACCATGACCAGTACATTTCTCTGACATATCCCTCCCCTCCACAAAAGGGGAATCCAAGAGATTTAGGATGGCAAGGTAACTAGGTTCTTGGGAAGATTGGGGATCTGAAGCACCCAAATTACAACTCCCCAGAGGCTCTGTAGTGAGATTTCAGACTCAAACCATTTTGTTTTTCTGAACAAAACATTTTGATCTTTGATTATTTTTTCCATTGAAAAGTTGAATTTTTTTATGAAGAAAAAAGTTACTCCCAGGAAGCTGATGACTCCATTACATGCCTGATTTTGCCCTTCTGCTTTATTTATCAGCATAAAAAAAAGTTCACATGCTGACCATCAGGATCACTAGACATAATTATACACCTAGCAATGTGAGACTAGGGAGAAGAAGTACTGATTACCTGTAGAAAATCCCATTTTCTTGTGGCACTTCGTAAATTCAATATTAAAATAGGTGACCAAGGCATGAATGTAATCATTGCGCTGAATTTGGAGGCAAAATGCAGATGTGAATGCCAGTTCTTCAGTCTTCACAGTATAAATATCCACTTCCTGTGTTGAGAGGGAAGACAAAGAACAAGCCCTTTTCATAACAATTTTGTATGGATTTAGTAGGCGAGCTGATCTGATCTGTTTATACATGCTGAGGGATGTATTTAAGCATATTATTTATTATTCAGCAATGTTGGTACCTTGCAGCCTATAGCTCTAAGACAGCAGTGGCATGTTCTAGAAATGTAGCATCCATGTAATCAGCAAATGACCCAGATGGGTGATTTTAAACTAGGCAGCCAGTCAATTAACTCTGTAGCTCAGCAGAGAACAATGGATGGGCCACTCATTAGAAGGGAAGTTTGCCTTTGAAAGTGACAGTCCTTAGAAATAAATTATAAAAATATGCTTGATAACAGAGAGTAAAACTAGAAGCGGGGTTTAAGACCAATTATGGTGCAAGTAGAAAAGTAGAAGCGGGGTTTAAGACTGATTCATAATTACTTGTGTGAGTAGTTGTTACTCAAATAAGTAACTATGGCAGAATCAGGTACTTAATGACTAATACAGGACAGTTAACATGGCTGTCACAAGCCTTTGGGGTTAGGCAGGAATGGATCCAGGGAGGATAGTGTTGCAGACAGACTCCCATTTCAGTCGACCACATTAGGGAAGCAGCAGCTGCGGACTTTTATTTCAATCTCTGAAGCAAGTAAAAATCCCTCCCTCCCTCCCTTCCTCTCTGTGCTCAGCACTGCCCCACCCTGCCCCCCTTCTCTTCTCCCCCACCCACTGCTGCCACTGTCTCTGGCTGCCCTGGGGGCAGGGGCAGAGATGGGGGTGCAGGCAGGGGTGGGGAGAGCTCTAGAGCCACTCCTGTCCACTCCAGCTGGGGTCTGCATGGAGCCAGGCTCAGCCCAGGACAGAAGCAGCAGTGGGGTGGTTACTCCTTCTTCCTGGTCCTCCTGTGTTCCCTGCCAGCCCAGGAGCAGGCATGGGGGAAGGAAACCTGTCCACTGCCACTGCTGTCTCTAGCCAAGTCTGGCTCCACGTGCAGCCCAGAGCAGGACAGGAGCGGCTCTGGAGCTCCCCCACCCACCCCAGTTCAGCTGGGGACAGCGGCAGCAACAGATGGGGGAGCGGAGGGATGGGAGCATAGGGGAAGGAACATGCCGCTGAGCACAGACGGGGAAGGAGTAGGGGGAAGGAAGGTTCTTACCTGCTTGAGGGAATTCAAAAAAGTCCCTCACTACAGCCACCCTCTCAGTGCAGGTCACAGTTACTGCACCCCCTTTCTGAAATTCTGGGTCCACCCATAGGAGAAATCAGATGCTGGACTGAAAGGAAGCAGGCCATGAAAGCTGGGAGCAGCAACAGTGAGAAAATTAAGGCATAAGACATCTGTTTACCTGTGTCAGGCCTGATAGAAGATGTAGGGATTTTTCATCACTTGTATGAACTGCACACAGATATATAGCTGGGTGAATAATGCAGAAAATATGTCATGAATATTCATTTGGATTTTTAAATTAGCTTGCTTCGGCCAGGTCTGGAAATATTGCAATGAATAACCCAGCCTTAGTAGCAATGTGGGTAAGATGAGTTCATAAACCTTTGTCTAATTTCTGGTTAAGAACATTTGTCAAGTTGGTTAATACCTAAGACCACTTCTGTCTACTTTGATTTATGTGGGCACTTCTTTTTTTTCCCTCAGAAGAGAAAATGTAATATCTGTGTTAAGCTAAACAAACAGAACATTCAAAGTATGAAATGACCTCACGTCTCCTGGCCCTGCTTTCTGGTCTTGTATTAAATAATGAATTCCAAATATGAAGCAGAGGGATTTTTTTTATGACCACAGAAGCAAATTATGTAGTTTCAATAAATCTTGAATATTGCGCTCGGCCACAGATGCAGCCTCCAAGACAATTTACTTATGCTGATACTCAGATCTCATGCTTCAAGGCATCAGTTTATAGACTTAGATGGGGAGAGGTCTTCCAATTCCTATGTACAGCATTGCACAGTTGACAAGGTGGTGTAATATACATGTTATTAGCCTCAGAATACTGGACACTGTAAGAGGCGGGATACCAAGCTCATTCTTATCTGGATGGTATAGGTACTCTAACATTCCTAATGGTGCATTTCATGGTGCAGCTTAAAATATACCCATTTTCACTTCCTTTTATGTTGATAGTTAGGTGTAAGCACTGGGCAACAAGCTGGCTATACCATGCATTATTCTTTCTTTATCAAAAGCAGGAACATCAATTTTAAAAAAGCCCTATTCTTGCATAGTGTGGCATAAAAGTTTATTCTATAGTACAGAAGTCTAAAAATAAAACATGGGCCAGATGCTCCTCTTCATTACACCAGTTTAAATCTGGAGTCATTCTACTGCAGTAGTTCTCAATCTTTTTAGATTCACCCCACTGAAAAGAACAGCTCTTAGCCTTCACTCATACTGACCACAGAAAAATAGAGCAATTCTTCTGTTGCAAAGAACTCAGAAAGGTCACAACAGGGCAGAATGTTATTTAATACTATGGATTCCCATTTGAAATTTCTGGGTTTATCTTGTGCATCATGTGTAGGCATGTAGGTAGTGCTAATACTGCATGGCACCCTTAAAAAGATCTCACAGCACCCAGGGGGCCCTGGTTGAGAATCACTCTTTTACTGACTTGGAGTCTCTCCAGATCTATACCAGTGCAACAGAGATTAAAACATACATGAGCATAGAATACAATTCTAGATGTTGATAACTGCAGGCAATAATAAAGACATACAAAGAGAAAAACAGACATGCAACTATAATCTGGCAGTTGATTTCCTTTCATAGATAACACAAGTCATGTGTTTTTTGTTTTGTTTTTAGAAGATAAAGATATCGGGCAAGATGGCCTTAGTTTTAACAAGAGTCTTGTTTCGGCATGAGATCGGAGAGATATTGTTCAAGAGCAGTTTCCCATGATGAAAATGATTTTATTGTTGCCAAAGTCACCGTGCCTTACCTGTCATGCTGAGTCATTGAATTATCTGTTATACATTTATAAGTGGTCCAACTTAAAACCACTTAGATTGCTTTAAAGTGTTGTTCACTAGCAAAAAGTAATTCTGAATAAAAAGTGATGCAGGGGCTCTATATTTATTATTTTACAATGATATCCTAAAAAGTATGCACATTTTGCAAGTGAAACAGAAGAAGATTACCTAATTTACTTGAATCTAAGACAAGGCTGTCCCCCCATCCAATATGGGGGGAGGCGCCCCTCCTCTTAGATTCCAGTAAAAGCCAGGAGGGGAGGAGTAGCAAACCCAAACCTGAGGTCAAAGTTGCAGCTACAGCTGCTGCCCCCCTGCCCCCCCAAAGCCTTTGCTCTCCCCACCCTGTAGCTTTTGCTCTCCGCTGCAGCTTATCTTCTTGCAGCTCCAGCTTTGACTGGGGACCTACTCCAGCCTAGACATGCAGCAGGGGCAGCAGCTCTGGTCCCAACTCTGTGCTGCATGCTCCCAGTCAGAGCAGGGTCCCAGGCAGAGCCAGAGCTGCAAACAGAAGGTAAAAGGGGTTGGGGGGGGGCAGCCACTTGAATACCCTGCTGCCTGCCCTCCCCACTTGCACAACTCCTGCCTGCTCCCCTTGGTGCCAGCATCTCCTGCTTGACCCCACCCCACCAATTGCCCCCCTTCTATCAGTACTCCTAAAGGTAGAAGAAGGAAGTTTGTTGGGTTTTTTGTTTGTTTTTTTTAGGGGGGGGTGGGGTGCAGATTTAAGATGACCCTCCAGTAATTAGATTCTAGACATGGAAAATTATGAACAATTAAAAAGAATTAATCTTCCATATCTAGAATGTAATATTGTAGGCTCATCTTGGATTTGAATAAATACAGTACTTTTTAAAACTCTCTATTGCACAAAATCAGCTTGAAATTTCCTTCTTTACCCCAAACAGTAAGAAGGACTTTCATTCAAAAGCAGTGGTTTGGGGAGCCCCAAATGTGGACACATTTTGAAGGGGTCTGATTTCCACTGATCATGTGAAAAATCAAATTGCTTTATGATGTTTCTAGCTAGAGGGACCCAAAGCAAAAAGAGAAACAAAACAAAAATAGTCACTTGGCCAAGACTTGACAAGACAAATCAGATCTCTGGTAACAGCTGCACAGTGCCATTGTCTTCAGTGCATTTTCACAGATGTCACTGAATCAAATATAAAGAAAAAATCAGTTGGTGAGGCACTGTAGGGAAGAGAATCCAGCTCCCTCTTGCTGTAGAGAAGATAATTCAACTCCCTTGGGTTGGTTCTGCACAGTGATACAAAATCAAAAGCAGTAAACAGTTCCTTTCACCAGCAAAGTCAGTAGGATAGTCTCAGGAAATGTATAGGGAACAGCTGTGTTGGTCACAAAAGTAGCATTCTGTAGAGCAGAACCACTCTCTAATTTTACTTCCCAAGAAAGAGATTAATTTTTTATTGATTAAATAGTACATTTTCAGAACTGACTCAATCCTTGTTCCTAATGTTCCTCCATTCCATTTCGCCTGCTAGACATTCCTATACCAGATATATGTGTTCTGCTACTCAGTCAAAATCCCAGGTGGCTAAATGATAATTTTGCATAAAATTAGACAGAAAAGCCATGCTCCACCACATTTCTTTCTAAATTATGTAAAAATTGGGCATAATTGAGCGTAAGTCTGGTCAAAATACAGTCCCTAATTTAAAAAGAAGGAGAAAAAGAAAAAGTGTTAAACTGAGAAACAATGAGAGTCGTAAAAATAGCAACTAAATACATAGGACCAGATTGCAAATGGAGCCTGTGCAGAAGCATAAAGTGGGATATGCATGTCGAGAGCCTCCCCCACATGTACAGAGGCAGAGACAATGATGCTTTTTGTTGCTGGGGGAGTAGAGGGCCTGCCTCTGCCCTGGGCTCCAAATGGCACTAGTCATCTTAAGAGTATATGAATGTCATGGGAGGGATTAAAGGAAGGGAATGGGACTTTTCCTCTCAAATTTCAATAGTGAGGGCAAAGAGATAGCAGCATTACTTATGCTCAAGGCTTTCCTGAATGATGGGATTTCATCCAGGGCTCAGGCCAGCTTGGCCTTGATAAAACAATCCCTAGTTCTCTCTCAAAAATCTGCCTTGCCTAAAGCTCTCTAATTGGCTGCCTGCCACAATTTCCTACCTCTTTGGTTAAAGCAGGCAACCAGGGCCACTTGAGAAGCAATCACAGCTCTCCTCCTTCTCCTTCCTACCCACTATAAAACCCTGACAAGAGGGAATTGGGGAAGGGGAGTAGGGAGATGCTTGATACCCAGAACAGCTCTGCCTCCTCTGGCCCATTTCTGTGAAGAACCAGCGAAGTTCTGCTCCTTCCACCTATTTTCCCTGAAGCATCTGGCTGAGGAAGGCAGGCAGGAAGGGAATAAGATGACACTGCTGCAGTTGTGCTCCTGGTCCTTGAGGGGTGGTACAGAGCCCAAGGAGCAGCCCAAGCAAGGTGGTAGAGGGGAGGCAGAACTGATGGGGAATACAGCTGGGGAGCACTGGAAAGACAAGTCTAGGGGCCAGTCAGAACTGGTATAGGTGGTGGTGTTGTCAGGAGTCAGCCTTGACTAGTCCTAGTTGTCCCCGATTTATCTAAGTGGGCCTAACTGCCAGCAGCCAGCTACTTCAGTTGGCCCTAGTTACTTGCAGGGTTGTGGCTGTGCTTTTAACCAGCAGCCCTCTGTGTCCAGCAGGTTACTCAACAGGACAGATACTCTTCCATTGAGTTCCTGGCACCTGGACCTGGCCTGAATCCTTGTTTCTAGTCCTTGACCACCCTTACTCTGCTGATGGTCTCAGAATTATAGGAGTGGCCCCAAACTTTTTTATGCTGCAACATGGAACTGGATTGTGGAGAACAATGTTTTTAGACTATTGGCTTTGTGTTGGCTTAGCTGGCCTTTCCTACAATTTTCTGTTGTACATTTTGCCTAGGGCAATGTGAATAATTTTTTGGGGGGTCCACTGGTTGAGCCACAACTTTTAAAAAAAATGGTTTGGGTTGACCCAATACTGGGTTTTAAAAAGATTTTTTTTAGTTAATTGAGAAAAAATGTTTCAGGCATTTAACTCATGAGGTGTTGAGTGTAGATAACTTGAGCTAATGCAGCTCTGAAGACAAGTCCTAAAGTAGTGGACTTTATGCTAATACTTGGATTGCCTATTTTTTTGATGCTAGCTTGCATAGCACATGGTAAGAATCATTTCTAAAGATTCAGTCCATGGATTTGACTGATAGTTTTTTTTTTATTTAATTTTTAGATGTGGACTACATATTTTTACAGGGACCAGGGAAATCAAACTGTTCTACCATTTGTTCTTCCATTATCAATCTCTCTCTTGCTTACTCCATTTTTAAAGCATATTTAGAGTTATAGATCTGTTCAGCTGTCCTATTTGTGTAGGGCATATTTAACTCTGCAACTGTTTGCTTTCTATGGACTCTGTGAGCTTTCAATCACAAAGGTATGAGGTCTCTCTAAAATCAGCCAGCCATTTTGTGTTCAGTTGAATATGGACAAAACTTATGCACACGCATACTTGGTGGTGTCTCATAAAACGTCTACCATTGTTTTTTCTTTTATAACCTGAAATAAGAATCATTCATCATGGAAGAATTTGTTTGCTCTTTGGTTACTCATGTAGACACACATTTGTATTTGTGGCTGGCAGGCACAAGGAAGAGTAGAACAGGCTTATTTGAAAAGAAAGGTACATTTCAGCTTCATGAATAAGATCCTACAAACCATTACACATGCAAATAGACTTTTTCATTATAGCAATTCTGTTGACTTCAATGGGATTATCCATGTAACTAATGACTATACAGTTTAGCTATGAAAGAAGGGAAATCTGTGAAGCATCTCATGCTCTTCTATGCCATGGGTTCTCAGCCTGGGGTTAGGAACAGTTGTCTGGGCATAGTGAGCACTCTGTTGTTCTTTATTTTGTATATTGCTAAATAGGACCAGGGTCATATCTTGACCCTAGCTGGACAAAAGAAGGGCACTGAAGGATGCCAGAAAGGGAAAAGGATAGGTTACAAAAATCATGTTGAGGATTTAGGGCCAAATTCCGATCTCATATTTGGGAAGGAAGCTGAAGGAATTCCATCAGAATCAGAAGCTAATGGATGAGTCTCTTTTGCTGTAACCAGAATTCATTTAACAACTCTCTCCAGTAGCTTCCCATCACAAATCTGTAATGTCTGTTTGCAAGGAGGAAGAACAATAAAAATGCATATCTAAATATAACGAGTCTTCATTTTCCAGTATTTGAACTGATTACTCAAAAAAAAAAATATTTTTAGTTTGTGTGTGTCTGAAGTTACATTTAGAAATCCTCTTATAGCAGCAACCAGATGAGCACAAATTCCCACTCTTGGGTACCATCTTGCAGTTTGGGTATCACCATATGTGACCAAGGTATTAGTATTCATGTTTAGCAGAGAGGATAACATTCGACATGTGCAACATGCTAGAACTAGATGTTTTGAAAACAGAGATTATTTTCCTTCTTAATTTTACAGCAGTTTGAAATGATGTCTGTAGCTTGAGAGGCACAGAAGGACAGTGATAAAGAAATAAAAACAGCCCATCTCCAAAAAGTGCCACAGTAAGTGTAAATATTCCTATTTAGGCACATTCAGAATTGCCAAACCTTAATCAAGCAGGAGTTGGTCACCACTTGCTTTGGATCTACTATGTCGACCAAGGGCTCCTTCATGGCCACGTCTCTAATACAGGTCATGTCAAAGCCGTACACATTCTCCCACCCTGTCAATGCAAAATTAATATGTCAAAGGGCAGTAGTAACAAAAATGCACACAGGATTTTTTTCTGGGTTTTAAACAACTCACTTTTACCTCCCCTCCCCAGTGAAAGAGACAAGTGGTACATCCCTATGTTAAAGACGATATAACCTGGGCACCTTAAGAATAAGACCCACAGTTTCAAAAGCAGGTTCTAAGTTTGAGTATCTCACTTTTTGCCTCATTTATAAACTAAGACGCCTGACTTAAGTTGACACTTTTGAAGACTTTGGTTGAAAATACCTGAAGTAAATACATGGGGTAATTGACACTGATTTGCAGATTGTTGTAAATTACAGTGGTGTCTGGATAGGACAAAAACCAGCTCTTCAGCTGTCCCCAGTAGGCGTTTTATAGTGCCTCCTTACTGGGTGGAACAGGATTGGTAATATCCTATGTGTTTTAAGGAAATGGCTACCATAGGATGAAATTTACTGGAACTGTGCATACATGACCCCCACACCTGCATAACTTACACCAGGGTATAGTTACTCCTGACTTCCTGGCTTTATCCTAGAGTGGTGTGATTGACACTGATGCATCCTGTGTCCACTCTGCATTTACACCTGTGTAAAGGCAGTATAAATGTGTTTTGTCCACACCTTTTAGGTATTTAAGTGAATTGCTCAAAATCACATGGCAAATCAGCCTAACACTTGAAGTCTCTTCCAACCCTGCAGTATAATGATTGTATAAGACAGAGGTTCTCAATCTTTTTTTTTTCTTGCTCTGACCTCTAGATTCCACTTCCAGGCAAAATGTTCTCCTTCTCAAAGGCTTGCAAACTGAGTTGAGCATCCTGGGTATTACAACTCTTCTGATGATTGTACCAGTAAGTGCCTTTTGTCTTGCTGAGTTTCTTTTCTTGAACAAGCAGTCCCCTAGGGAAAAGTACACTGGCTGTGCTCTTGTGCTTGACATTTCTTTGTGATAAAGCGCCAGGAACTGTTAGCTTAAAAAGGGAAAAAAAAGCCCTCCAAAAAAGTAAAATCTTTTACAGGCTCCTGAACTGGATGAGTCAAATTCCATTAAACCTGAGTGCCCTATTTAAAAAAAAATCTAATCTGAAAGTTATAGAAGTTATGTAGGCTACAGTATGTGCTGAGGGGCAGAATGGCTAGAAAAGTACTATGAGCATTTAAAAAATCTTATTATGCATGAGAACAAACGAGGTAAATTGACAAACTACAGTAGGGAGCAAATTTGCAAATGCTTTTTCTTCTCAGAACACAGTGGTTGAGTTCTTGGCGTTCCCAGCAGGGTCAAAATTGGCAGCAGTAACAAAAGGTCACTATGTTTCTAAACTGAATGTATTCAGCAAAGATTTGTTCTTTGCTAATATTATCCATTGCCTGGGTTGTCAGCTCATACACATTTGATGGGAGGGAGGTGACTCTTGACACAATGTTTTTATCCTTGGTTATCCAATCTTTGGGGTGTTTTTTTGTTTCCCTGAAAGCCCCAATTTCTGGAGTCCTGTGACTTGCAAGAGAATCTCAGCTTTCATTTTTAAACAGCCAAGTTCTCAGTCCTTTATGGAGAGAAAAGAAAGAGAGAAAAGAAAAGAGCTAGAATAAAAGCACCTGAAAGGGAATATTTACCCCAGGAAGTAGTGGGATCTCCATCATATAAAGTATTTAAATCAACATAGGATGCCTTTCTAAAAGAATATCCTGGAGCTTAGCCATAAGATAAGAGCTTGACGCAAGTAGCACTAGATGAAATTCTATGACAGTATTATGCAGGGGTCACACTAGATGAGTACAATGGTCTTTTCTGGATGTAAAGCTATGTGAATCTACTGAAAATCTTAAGACTTATTTCAAAACACTGTATATCTCGTAATGCTTTGAAACAATCTCATGCATTTTGAGTACCCTCTAGAACAGTCAGCCTTGCATTTGGAATGTGAACAATGTTCTTGTACCCCCTCTCAAGAGGAAGGAGAGAGGAAGAAATGAAATAGCAGGATGGGATAGGAGTGAAAGAAATAGAGGGCAAAGAAGGACAAATGCCAAAGGTGCAAATAGTTTTGGGAAAAGATGAAATTAGCACCAAAAAAAAGAAAGCCCTGAAAGAAAACAGTAAGGTTGGAATGTTGTTGTTCCCCTGGCAGTCCCTTCCCTTCTTCTTAAATTAAATATAGTTGTATCAATTTGCATATTGTACCCATGCCCTTAGTTCCCTTCAAGGTTATTGTTTGCAGATTTACTCTTCACTTTCATGTGCTCAGGAACAGCAGGGTCCGACAGTAGGAAGAAGGGAAAGGTGTCACCAGAGGATCAAGGTGGGGAGAAGTTAAGAGCAAAGGGGCTATCTGACCGACCCCCCCCCCCCCCCCACACACACTTATTTTCCCTGCTGTAGCAGTAGGAGGGGGAGAAATTCAAGGCAAACCTCCACTAGTTAGATTCTGTACCTAGGAAATTACAACAAATTTATCAGTTTTCCATATATAGAATCTAATTATAGCCTGTGGGGAGGGGGAGGCTGTCTTATAATCAGGGTTGTCTTCTATTTGAATAAAGATGGTAATTGGGGAAAGCACATGCATGGAATATGATGGAAGGAAAGTAATCAAGATATAGGAGGGTAAGTAGAAAACAGCCAGGGAAAGA